GCTTCCATCAACCTCCTGGCAGCTGAAACTAAATCTGACCATTCAGCGAAGAGCTTTCAAAGATCAAGATCGATAAAAATGGCCATATGGCAGCGAAGCTGTTCATCCCGGGACGGCTAAGCTACCATATAGAATATGATATACAGAGAATATGATAGATGACATCAAATATATAGCATTGGATGAATGACATAAAAAATAACGCACCGGTGCAATTCCTTTTAAATTTTTAAGCTGGTTCTTTCCAAAGCGATGGACCTTAGAGTATTTTCAAGGGTTTTCCTGGGCTCTGCAGAGATATTCACGACCCCGTGCACGTTGAGTGTAGATGGAAATGGGTTTATCAATTTTTTATCTTGGCTGACCCATGTTCGTCCGGGGATGTTCAACGATCTGTCAGAATCCATTACTGATGCAACTTTTGTGACAGTGTTTAACATACGCACCCCAGGTCTTAGAAGCGTAACCCAATGCGGTGATTCTGCCTCCTCATGCAGAAACGCACCCTCGCCCAGAGTTCCGATGCGACAAGTATGTCCTCGATCTCAGAGGTCAAGTCAAGACACTTCCGGTGGACCTAGGGTCCTGTAATTAGCATGTGTAACAGAACCGAACATTCAAAACGAAATGCTAAGAAATGTCAAACCCTTGCCCTAATATATTCGAATGATCTTATTTGAAGTCATCTTTGGAAAAATAGGCTTGATTTAAGTAACGTCCCCGTGGGCTGGGAAACCACGATGATCGAACGTTGAATAACGCGGTAAGTAACATGGAGAAATGCCTGAAAGAGTTCGTTAGGTCCTCACTCAAAAAAGTTTTTTGGAACCGAGATCGACAGTACAAATCGGCAAATGGAATCGGCAAACCAGAACTTGGGCTACCTACGTTCATGCCTATGTAAACTGTATTCTGAATACAATTCGGTACCTTAATTGAAGCTAGTACTGTTATCTCCTGTAGTAGTACTGTCTACTTAGAACTGTAGTAGTACTGTCTTTTGAACCTCCGTCTTACCTTCTTTACGGATATCTAGTATCCTGTTCCGACGGCACCCAACTGCTAAACTCTACTCATCCAGACCAACTATCCGTTTTGAAATCACGACAGGAGAAAACCATTCAAGCGGTTCTTTCCCACTTCTCACCTAACTCCCTGGGAATGTTCCAGACTTGTGTGGCGGCTTTTCGAACAGAGATGACCATCTTGATGACCTTATGATGCAGTTCACGGCCATGTCCTTTTTAAGACACAGAACGTTCTGGTTCCTGACTTACACGCCAGCAAAAGTGCGACAAGATTTATTGGGAGCTTATTTTAAGTCGCCTCGCTATTAATGACGCCACAAAAACGTCATGCGATCGCGTTCATCCTACAGACCATTTTCTCTTATGGTCAAAACAGCATGGCCGCTGGGACATTCGCAAAAGCGATGACGCGTCACGTATGATACAGCGCGCGGAAGATGATTGGCTGTTAGCAAGATTTCTCTGCTGAATGCGTGCCGGGAACGTGAGCGTGAGCATTTTGGGGTTGTGCGGCACTTGTCTTGAACGGGTAATTTTTCCTTATTTCCAGGCCATAGGTCAATGTTATAAAAAACACCACTGTCTGCAAAAAAGTACGGCACCCAAAAAACGGGAGCTCTCCCGAAAGCTATAAAAAGAAGACGCGACGGCAAATCTGTCTTTTTTCCTGCTGGCGTTATTTTTCTTCCACTGACGTATTTCTGGCAGACAGCTCAGCTGGCGCCTTGTGCACCGGAGCACAGAACCTTGCACGGGTCTATGGGTTACCAAGGCATTATGAAATTAGGGAAACATTACAGTAATTTTGGAAATGTATTTCACTCAATATTTGACACATGTTGTACGACAAATTTAAATCTTGCGCACAAAAATTATATTGTACAAGTACAACCTCTTGACCCGCATTGCCATGAAGCCCCGTTGGGACCTCCGGTACAGCAACCGTTGACCGTTGGGACAGCAACGTCTGCTATATCAGTTAAAATTGCATGGCACTGGGGATTTTTTGGCTGGGTAAGGACATGGCTGCTAGATAGGAAACAATGAGTAATGTTCAATGGCACGATATCTCACCGGGAGCTATTTTAATAACATTGAGTTAGAATTGGTTAGATAGTTGGATAGTTAGAAATATTGGGATAGATTTAGGGAGTAAGGAGCTTAAGTGTGCTGACGATAATAAATTGGTAGATGTGAAGAAAAATACCAAACACGTGACGCAAATTCAAGCTGACTTAAGTAATTTAGTGAACTAGGCTTCCCTGTGGCAGGTGTCATTCAATTATGACAAGTGTAAGACGATGCGTTTAGTTTGTTTTGGCACTGAGAGCACGAGCTATAAAATGGGAGGCCAGGAGTTAGACCAGATTGAGAATGAACAGGACTTGTGGGTCATTATTTCTGATTTAAACAGTGAAAAGCAATATTGGGCTGCTGGGAGCATGGCGCTTTGGATGCTGCAAATTTACAATAGAAAAAACTATTTCAAGAGAAGGAATGTTGTCAAAAAGTTGTACTTAGCTCACGTCAGACCGCACCAAGAGTATTATGAACCGGCTTGGTCCCTATGCTCCCAAAACAGATGTAGACAGACTGAAAAGAATAAAACGAAGAGCAGCTAGGACGATAAATGGGATTGACGACTTAGAATATATGCTTAGGCTTAGGGCCTTGGATTTGTATCCACTGAAATATTGCGACTTCCATGAGGTCTGATAGAGGTATTTAAGATTATGAAGGGGATAGACAAGGTGGAACACTACATGGAGCACTAGAAATTAGGCCGAGACAGCGAAAACCAGTTTCATTCAATAAAAGATAGCACTAAGAACAGGCAGACGTTATTTGGTCAAAAAGTAGTAAACCATCGGTACGCGCTGACAAGGGGAGTTATAGCAAATCCCTCTCTAGCAACATTTAAAAAACTGTTTGGACAAGTTCAGTCGGTCTAAAGATCTCATTTGTAGCTAAATGCATGCATGTCGGGTGGAAATATGTGTTTCGAGGATGTGTACAGAGCCTGAAGGAGACCAGCCTTGAGGCGCCCTTGTGGCTCTTTGTTGCCCAGATGTCCTTATGCCTTTACGTCTTTATGTGTGGTTTGTAGCAGGTAATGCAGGCAACGAAGTTTGCTACGTTTATCAAGCTTACGTAGGTTTATGTGCACGCCAGAGCAGGTAAGGGTGCACCATACCGCTTAAACAATGAGCTTCAACGTATAGACTATAACTTTTTCTGAGATGCCTGAAGAGGTAACCAACCGTGCATACCTATTTTGTAGGACGCCCTCAAAAGCGCCAGAGCCTATGGTTTCTGTGGGGGCGGATGAAATCACGGGGAGAGGGGCATGACCCTTTGGGTCATCCTCGGTGCATTTCTACAGCGTCTAGATAAGTGATACAATTCGGATTTCCAGATACCGTAATTCCCATATCATAACGCCATGAGTGGCGTAGATATGAGTATAATGACGCAAACTCTCATGATGCGAAGATGCCAACAAGGCGTACATTTACAATGACAATGATGAGATTATGCGCATTGGTTAGAATACAGGTGCACAACCTATCTTGCGCAAATGCCATTCTTTGCTGTATTTGACATTAAAGCTTCAAATTAATTGAAATTTGTACGCGTGTTGATTTCCCTAGTTCCATGCTATACGATTTTTAGATCAATCATTTCAAGGTGTTGGTTTTGGGAGAAATACTTAAAAAGTATGGCACTAATTGCTGACTAATTTTACAGAAAAAACTACATCGACGGAAGTTTGGCTCGGCAAGTCCCATTTCTGCGATGAATATGCCCCGTAGATCAGCTACCAATGAAATGGTAAAGTTTGGGCAATGTCCCCAGTAATTTAATTGAAGGCTCAGACATCATCTGTTGGCTTAAAAAGATGGTGCATTACGTAAATACTCTTAAGACGCACGTGACATCGAAAAACGACCGCTCATCGGCTCTTGTAGCCGTGAAGTTTCAAGTGAATCAGCAATATGTCTCCATACATCAGCAATACATACAATTCATCGCCACAGCACTCCAATCAAAGATGCCACTCTGGTGGTGACGTCGTGAGATGGTGTCTGGTGTCACAAAAACGGAAAACCACATACTGAAAGCTGAGAACGAGGCTTCCTGCAGCCCATCAAGAAAAGGGTTCCGCAATGAATGATAAGAGCTATTTGCATCTGATTGCCCGAAAGTGCAGCTTAATCATGACTACTGCGTTTAAAAGGACAAAAATATGCGTTCCGAATTTTTTCGGAGACTTCTTATGAAGTCACGGTGTGGGCGGCCGTATCGAGAGTCTGTGAATGTAACGGCGGTTGATGAAAGCTTTGCAGTCTTCAGGAGATAACTTGGTAGATAAAAATACAAGAAACATGCCTGCTTCGTCCAAGCATGTTTTTAGACTCGCGCCAAAGCAACAAAGCCGTTTTCTGTCCATGACTCGGCAAAGACACATTCAAAGTTCGCCCTAGGGGAGCTGCTGAAGCTCAGCACACGGGTTGCCGTGAGGATAACCCACCCTCGGGGCCACGGCGCCGTCCCACCGAGGAACTCTGGAAAAGCTTGAGGGCTAGTGTGTAGGAAAAGGGATGGAGAGCACCGAGAGAACGCTGACTTCGGGTGCAAAAGTACCAAAAAGTTGCAGGAAGTTTTGCGGAGAAGCGTTAGAAGCTGATTGACCACGTGAAGACAGACGTCCACTGCGTAGCTGATGAGGCCCACCTGGCTCTTCTCCCTCCCCTACCTCGACTCTCATGTAAACAGCAGAGGCCGTGCTGGTTCTTCTGAGATGCCGTCTATGTTTACGAGCCAATCAGGCAGGGAGCCGCAGGCCTCTCGCCTTGTGCCAAACTTAAGTTGTGACCCTGTAGTGTATTCACCCTACCCACCACTTGCAATGCATTTGCACTTGCATTTGCACTTGTTATGTCACCCGCTTTTTCCGGTCGGTAGGTCAGATGACACGACACAGAGCTTGTATTCACTACGGTCATGTGACGACAACTGTCGCAAAAACATTACAAAAAGTGTCAGATTTCGAGCATGAATGCAATTGCTAATTATCTCTGTCACGCTTTCAAGGACACAGCGTCGAAGCGCGTTCGAACCCAGCTAAAACAACGATCGTTGACATCTGTGCAGTGATTGCCCTCAGCATGCTGAACACCATAGTCAAACGCATTGACATATCACATTAACTCTCCCTACCTATTCGGCATCGACTAGGATTATTACGGGACGGCGGGAAAATAAGGACAACGACGAAGGCTGCGCCAGGTTCCAGAAGACACCCGGTTCCTTTTCACGCCAGCAGCAGCTCGCCTTCGCTGAACACTGTCCACTAATGCCTGATGTCATTAATGGCATGAACAAACAACGCCGGCATGCGTCTGTCGCCATCTGACGGATGTGTGTGTGCATATGTGTGTGTTTAGTAGCAGCCAGTTTGCACGCGATCCCACGTGACAAATGTGGCCGGGATCCTTGTGACACTGCGCAGATTAGCCACCTGATCAGGACCGATCAGGGTCTCGCACTCCACAAATCACCGCAAATGTTCGCACAAGCATCTGCACATCGCACTGTTCACCACGACGAAACTAGCTTTCACCCATAGAACTTGTATGGTTTGCTGCTCCGAGCTCTTGCTTTGAAGCTTGGGCACTCTGTAACCAGGTATGACAATATAAGTGTACGGGATGCTGCGACAGACACAACTTTAATATCGCTTGTAGACGGATGCAGTGACATCGGTGCATCGAACATAGAAAGTAAATATATCAGCTTATCCCGAAATTGACATCAGAAGCGTCTCCCATACTCGCTCGACTCTTGTGTAACAACTTTGAACGACTATGCTTTCTACGGTACTAGGAAAAATTTGATGCCATTTCACAATTTCTAACCACTTTTCGTAATCACTAAGCTCCATCGCACGCTGCTGACTAAGAGACACATACCTTAAGGATAGGTGTTAAGGAGAGCGACCCAGCTGGAAGTGCAGCAGAACGTTTGGAACCCCCTATCACCGCGATGGGGAACACAAGATGGAATGACATCGGGTCCCCCGACCATCTTCCGACCCCTCCAGCTCCCTCCAATAACGGGGGGGCCACAGGACCATGCGTGTGAGCTATTGCGCCACCCTTCGCCTGCCGTGTACGTGCACTTTCTTCACGTCAATTTGCTTTGCTCCGCCCCGGCCGTGCTAGACGGGCAGGTCGGCCACAGGTGAGGCGTGAAGCCACAGTTCAGGAGTGACGCCATAGGCGATGCGGGACATCACATGTGAGGCGTGACGTCACAGATGAGGCGTAACGCGGGCGGGCGTGGCGTCACTCACTGCAGGTGCGGCAGCGCGCCTCGTCAGAGGCGTCGCCGCAGCCGTCGGTGCCTGTGCACAGGATGGCAGTGGAGCGGCAGCGTCCGCTGTCGCAGCGGAACGGGCAGGGCACGCCGTCGCGCACGCTGCCCAGCACGCAGGCGGCGTGCGGCTCGTCGGAGCCGTCGTCGCAGTCGAGCACGGCGTTGCAGAAGGTGGCGGCCGGCCGGCAGGCGCCGGAGCGGCACTGCAGGCTGCCGGCTGGGCAGGCTGCGGGCGCGCGCAGACATTATAAGACGGGGCACGGGCGGGGGCAAGCACGGCATGGTTTAACCGGAGGCGAGCAGGCAGAGAAGGACTCGCGCGGGCGGGGTAGGGGGTGGACAGGGCACGGTACAGACACCGCAGTGTCAGACGCCGACACTTGCGTGTTTCGTCGACATACGTTGCCACCAAAATATTGATGGGGGTCATAAACGACGAGGAAGCCCGCGTCTTAAATGGTCACTTGCCTCGGTTAAATAACCATACTGAAAATGCACACATGTTGGGAAATAGAGCCAGACCTCTATGGAAAGTGTGGCTTCTGTGGTTATGAACCACTGAGGAATATTGGCAAACGTCGCGACACAGCAACAAAAACAATACGACAGCATCAAATACTTATAAATCATCCGTAAAGCCTGCAAGAGATCGTCATTAGACTACCCCCGACCCTCAAGCAGTATAAGTACAAGGGCTGCCATACGGGGAAGCCATGGCCAGCGGGTGCTCGCTCCGCGTGCCGGCAGCCCATGCGAGACGCCCTCTGATGCCGGCCCGTCTGACAGCAGCCAGACGAACCCGAATGAACCCCATGCGCCCTTGACAATTATCCTGCGGCACCCGTCGGTCGCCCCGCCCTCCTGGCCAGCCCAGGCCGCCGACGATTACTGTGTGGCGCCAGCAGATTGGCCAGCCCTCGGGCCGGGCGGCGGCATCCCAGCTCGTCGCTGCCGTCGTCGCAGTGGCGCACGCCGTCGCAGAGTCGCGCTCGGCTGACGCACTGGCCGCTGGCGCAGGCGTGCGTCAGCGTCGGACACCCGTGCGGCGGGCGGCACAGCAGCTCGTCAGAGCCGTCGCCGCAGTCGTCGCGGCCGTCGCAGACGAAGTACCAGCTGATGCAGCGACCGGTGGCACGGCACTGAAAGGCGATAAGTGCCGTGGCGAGCTGCGGTGTCATCCCACCTCAGAACATTAGGCTGACAGACTCCCGCACTGGATACGATTGTTTGAATTCTGCTCACAGAAGTAATTGCTGAAATAGGATGGCGTCCAGAGTTTAACATGCTGTTTGTCGTAGATTAATAGCTGTTTAACATCAGTGCCAACACGCTAAACTTTAGACCGCGCGTCAGCTGAAGCGGGGAGCCCTGATTAGAGACATAGCAGGCTATATTAGAGGTCTCTCTTGGGCAGGCCAGTTGCCATTGTCGTGGGCCTGTTTGTGGGAAGGCTCCAGTGATTGTCAGCCAAGCTGAGCGTCACTCTATTCAGAGTAGTGACCAAGCGGCACCTGTGCGCGTCACTGACCTGGAAGGTGTGGTTGAAGCAGCCGATGTTGTCGGCGCTGCATTCGGTCGACGGCTGGTCGCACTGGCACCGGCCGGCCTCGCAGTGCGAGTTTGGGTCGGCCGCCCTACACGCGGCCGACGCCACGCACGGTTGGCCGAGCGCCGCCGGCAGCGCTGGCGCCTCTGGCGACCGACATGATAAGTTTTAGATCACAGGAAAGTCACAAGGGGTGGCGGCGACCGCGAGGCCACGCCCAGCTGGACATAATTGCGGTGGCGCTGCTTCACAGCTAGTATTCATTTGTACATCATTTGTTAGACGCTCCCTAGATTGGAAACAGAGCACGTCTTAACCATGGCTGTTCGTTAGTTGTTCAGTGCTTTAGCGAGGAACATTATTCACAAAGATAAGACAGTAGTATCTATTAGTCTCATTCCTCGGATAAAAACCAGGAGAATGGAGATGTAGTTGGGTTGATATTTCGGCAGCATGCCTTTATCGAAACGTAACCTCATGCTTCTGCTATTTCGATAAAGGCATGTTACCGAAACATCTGCCCAATTACATCTCCATTCTCCTGGCTGTTATCCGAGGAATGGGGCTAATGCTACTGTCCTATCTATGGCTGTTCGTTGTCAAAAGCGATGGATATCAATAGATAAATGCAGTAAATTTCGAAATCGCTACAATTCGAAATCGAAATTGTAATTGTAAATTTCGAAATCACTACACATTTTCAGAATTTGGCTTTTGAGAGGCAACTTAAATGCGCAGTGGCGTCCAGACAGCTGATAATGTAATGTTTGTCCACGTGGGCGGCGCGCTTCAAGCAGACCACACTGTGCCAATGCGTTTTGGAGGTCGAGCACTGCTCACGGATACGTGAGTTGCGTCAGCGCGAACGCAAACACGGAATTATCCGCTCAGTGTCAATCTTGTGACGCCTAATCTCTTCTTGAACACGGAGTGCTGGCGAGAATATTCACTTCAAAAGTCGAGCACAAACAAGCAGCCAGCTAGGAATGTTATCACTATCTTAGTGAATAGCGTTAGGGGAGTTTTTAACATTCCCGTGGACAGAACAGACGAGCCTCTGACGTCCTGCCGTCATTCAGCGGCGAGTCGTGGTGACCGAGCTGTCAGAAGGCGCAGAACGTCGGCCTGAACTTCAGCTGAACGAGTCGGAATGAGAGAAGTCATTGAAACAAAAACACAGCAATGTTCTCAGGTTTCATTCCAGGCTTGTGATGATAAAAGTCTATGTGAACTTGACCAGCACAGTTCTATCTGCGTCTTCACTAAAGATATCGGCACCTATGTTTAGGAACGATGTATTACCTAACGCGTGAAGCTCTTTGCACAGAGCGCTTCATTACGCGAGGTATCTTACGTGTAACATACTTCGTAGGAACTGGATTCCTAGTCCGCTCTTTCACTCAGTTGTATAGCTGTTGAAGTGGGGTGGAGAAATACAGCTGGTTCGCTTGCTTGCAGTTGGCGACAAATAAGTACACCCACGCCTACAGACCCAAAAGCACGCCTACGCGCCGCCTAAGGCCCAAATAAATATCCGCGTGAGTGGCATATTATCTGCGCTGGATGTACACGCAGAAGTGAGTTCTTGCATTAAAGGTGAAATGTCGTCGCGATCGCAAGGAAAATGAAGGCTGCCTTCAGCGGGAGCCTGCAAAAAAAATGACCCCAGTTGCACCCTGCGAATGAAGTAGACATTGGCAGTGGTCGCCCAGCTCAGTGAAAACTTTTTTATGAATGCCGAGCTACTAACGGACAGCTAAATATGCTCGTGAAATAATTTGGTTGCTGGAAACGTACGCTGTTGGAATCATGCGTTTGCCTGGGCTTTGTGCATTCATGTTCAGACTTTGTGATAAGGCTGGCGGCTGATATTAGGAAGGTGCAGTGTTCAGATCGGTGGTTTTTCCGTCCGATGCCAGCTGCTCTCTGACTGGCCGATTTTGTTACCAGAGTCTAGCTTCATCAGATTGAATTACAGTCTCTGATTGGCGCCACATGGAATATATGAACCAAGCTATGCGAATTGAACATAATAAAAAATGAAACGCAAAAGCTATGGCGAAAAACAGCGCAGTATGACCGGCACGTCCATTTATGCCAGATCGGCTCGTATCGACTTGGTGCGCTTAGGTTTACATTTCCTTTGATCAATGTTCAATTCTAGATATCACAAGCAGTTTCACTGATGGGTGCTAAGTGGAGACTGCATCCACCAACTTTTTAGCAACTGAGATCATTTTAAATCTACCTGGCAACCCACGGGCTAGCTGATTTACCCAGATCGATTTTAAAATTGTAAGTTAATCATTCTTATTACACCAAGAACAAAGCAATTTTTCAGGTGTTTCTGAAAATTTACAAGCCAGAACAAAGTTTGTCAAAGTCTGCAAAGTTAACACGCGCTCGGGTGGCCTCCTAGATACCCTTCGCTCGGGTGGGGGCTCAATTTGACTCCCCTGAGATCTCGGGAACTAAGAAAGCTAGAAACACCCAATTTACAAGGTGTGTTGATCTGTACGTGAACTCACTCAGGCCAAAGTTTCAGCTTCTAGGTCATGACCTTTGGGCCAAAAAAGGTCAAACAAGTTCAAGTTCCAGGCTGGTCTCCAAAATGCCCCCCGGAACCTAGATAACCGTTTCTAAGCAAAAGGCCGAATTGTCATTCAAGTTCAGTGGCCTTTTTTGACCTTTTGAAGGTCAAAGTTACCAAAATCATGCAATATTGCTTTAAGTTTTGCGTCTGACTAAGCGACAAAAATTCCGCTAGACAGTATGCTCCTTAAACAAAATGTTGACCAGGGTCATCTTAGATCTATGACCTATTTTGACCTCTAAGAAGTCGGTGAAAGATGCATAATGCGATTCCTGCCTTTAATGAACTCGAAATGAGCACCAAAAGCTATCCCATACAGCAAGCCCTAGAGTAACAAAACAGGTTGGTTTTGACCTTGGTGTGACCTTTATACCTGACCTTAGGTCAATGTAATTTGCTCATTCAACTGTTGTGTTGCCTAAGAAAGCACCTCAGAGATGTATGGCTTCGTCTAACACTCCGTTGTTGGATCAGACTGAAGGATTCCCTAGAAACTGACTTCGCTGAAACCATGGTCTGACTCTGACCTGTCATAGGTCAGCGACCTTACAGAGTACATTTAAATATTTGATGCCGAACAATTTGCTATTCAATTTTATATTTGCTATTCATATTTATTATTATTTTTATTTGCTATTCATATTTTTTTTATTAATTCATATCAGTTTGCTATTCAATTTTCCGAGCGGCGCGGCTACGCCGCACCGCTCGGAAATCATTTTGAAAAAACCTTCGGGAGGGTCAATTTGAACGCCCCACCCGAGGCCATATTAACCAAAAAAAATGTGCTGAGTGGAGTACTTTTACTTAATCTTATTTTATATCTATTAAACTTTGGGCACATGTGGTATTGTCTTCAAGGGCCCCACATAAACTACGATAAAGGACCTGTATGCACGGTCAGTATACTTATTACAGATTATGTAGGGTCGCTCGACTGTTGAAGTCCGGTAGATGTACGTACGTTACATTACACGATTAAGCAACTAAGGAGAATCCACCACAACCAACCACTATGAA